CGTCCAGGTTACGATACCGTGTACATTCCGTGTAAGTAAGGCTAATATTCAGACGCAATTACGTGCGGATAATATAATGAAGTTATGTACGATAATAAGAATAAGGAGCAATGGTGGGTCTTGCCGACGATACCTGCAACTGCGAGCCTAATTCTTACAAACGGTCTATATACGATCACAATACGAGAGCAGATTTTAATCGACAAATACGGAGGAAAGTCGCGTAAACAAACGCGACAAGAGACACTCTCTATTTCGAGAATTAATTAAACTATAAAAGAATATTCACACTATATTTTCGTACAGGGCCGATTTAACGATTTTTAATACACATACGTTAACATCTTAAATCACAAATCGTAGTTTCGAGAAGGACGACGAGTTGTTACGAGTGGAGAGAGAGAGAGAGAGAGAGAGAGAGAAAGAGAGAGTGCTGCGAGAGAGAAAATATAGAATTCACACGCGAACCGCGATTTTAGAAGCGCAACATTCCCACAAACGGTTGAATTTTGACTTAAGTCGTTAATCTACCCGTGTGTTCAAGTCACTCGCTTAAGATGAGTCTCGACTAGCATCGCACCGTTCGATTGTTCGGAAAACGAGAGAGAAAAAAAAGTGAGAGGAAGAACGGAGTACGAGCGAGGGAAGTGACATTTCGTCAAACGTTGAAACGCGAAAATAGTACTTTTCCTAATCCCGCACAATCGAGTGCCAATCTTGCGAAGAGTGTCGTTTTCTTTGACATTACGAGAGAGCTTTCCTAGATAGATCCCAACGATTAGAGAATAATCATGTTTTTACCTGACACTTAGCGCGCGATGCACAATTCCTTTGTGAATACGTAGTCGCATAGGTGTAGGAGGTCGAACAAAGACGCGAATAGACGATGTGTACATACCTCGTAAATCCTCATTATATTCCCGGAGAAGAGAAAGACGTCGATTTTAAACGTAGGAGTTACACCGATTTCCGTTCACAAAAAGAAAAGCAACGATACTGCAAACGTTGACTCGATGTACTGAATGTATTTATGTATACGATGTATAAACTGTTACTAAGAACAGATTAAAGAACATCGCGTAAACCGGATTTCTAGTTGTCTTCGTTCACCGCAATTTTTTTTTTTCTAATAGAGATAATGATGGGTGTTCGCAATCTCCAAGATTACAAGTTGTCTGAAAGTCTCAATAGGAATCGATTGCGGAAAGCGCGATTAATGGTCGCTAAAATATGCTTGTCTCATGTAATGAGATGTTAATGTTCCACGGTGCACATATGCAATATTCAAATAGAAATCATACAAAAAATAGAGAAATAAAAAATAAAGATCGTGTCCGTGATTCGTAAGCAAGGCTATGGTAATGTCGGTATTAACATTGATTGCCTCATTATTGATTCTTGCAATTCGTCACGTCTCGTTGGTAACGTAATGGTAACATTTGCGAAACGAGATCTACGCGTGCGCGCGTTCTTCGTGGAAATATACAATGAAAACGTTGAAGATTTTCGACACGACGTTCTTTTCGCGAATACGCACGACAAATGTTTTATCGTTGCTCATCGTTTATTTTTACGTTGATCCGAGAGTTAATTCCACCGGAGTGAATATGATAATCGCTCGACGAAGTGGTGATACGTTACGACGATTGCGTGACGCATCGATTAAATCGGGTTAAACGTCCGGTGCATGAAAAGAAAATAGTCTCGTGGTAATTGGGCTTCGATTAGAGAAGCTAATTAAGCGTTGCGCCATGTCAGTCGAATTGCTTCGTCGACCGGGCGCGACTAACCGCGGCGATGAGCGGTCCCCGCTGCGCAACGCGTGAAATGACAAAGAAATTACGAATAAACGGCAGCCGAAGCACCTCTTGGCGCGAGAAAATCTTCGAAATCCTCGACGGATTTATTCGCGTGCCAAACGCATGAGTCAGATAGCCCGAGTTGGTGCTTCGACTTCATTCGCGCCCAGGTTATCTCCGCCGCGACGGTAAAAAAACTGTTTCGAGGGCAACTCTCCTCGACGTATCGATATCTTGATCAAACAGGAAAAATCAAGGAAAGAGGAAAGAAGAAGAAGAAGAAGAGGTGAGGAGAAGGAAGAAAGAAATTCTGGGACGAATATCTCGCGTTCCCGAATAACTCGCAGCATTTCGGAGTCGGCGAGCCGAAAGCCGCCGAGTTCTCGACGGTCCCGCCGTCTTCTTTCACACCACGACAGATTTCGGCACTGTAAATTACAGAACCGTGAGGAATCGACAGGGTCCTGGCAAAGAGACAAACGTTTCTATGCGGATCTCCGCGAGCGTCGCGACGTTTGGCGAAGTTATTTCGATGATAGTGGGGCGACGCTCTATTTCGGTCGTGCTAGCCAGGGCCGTTCAGTCTGCGGCCCGGCTTCCCCATCAGGAGGCCGCGGATCTGTACTTCGCACTGTTATTCGATCGATCGTCGAAAAATGCACGAGAGATAATCGCGAGAGAAAGAGAGAGAAAGCACGAACGAGCAGCTTCGAATGAGAACGCATAACTCGAAAGGCGCTCCCGATCGGACCAGATGTAAAGGAGAGAGTTAGCTGGCCGCGAAGTTATCGCTTCCGACGTAATCCGGGATTTAACGTGGATTAGAGGAGAACAGTGTTACGTTATTATCATGCCGATATTTCCGTTCGGTTTCGCAGGCCGATGTGCGCTTCGCGAGTGATATTCGCGACTCGAGTCGGATGCGATCGCACGGTTTCACGATTATAATCGCGAGACTCGACCACAGTGCAACGAAGTTAATCGCCCGCAAAGCGATGCTCGGTCATCGGAATCGGCCGCGATAGTGATCGAAGAGAATCGATCGTACCGCCGTAAGCGTCGAGTGATGCAATTCGGTGATGTGAATCGTAAACTGGGTGCAGGGGACATTTTTTCGGGCCGCTCGGTGTAGTCGGTGGAGAAAGAAGAACTCTACGATTTCGAAAGGGAAAAGAACTCGGGACGAGAGAAGAATTTGAATCGAAGCGCGACAAATCGAAAATATTTACGCGACGCAAGCAGTCATTTCTCTCAACGTGGCCGGAGACACAGATTTCCTAAAAAATTGATTTGATTGGAAATTCCCACGACAACAAACATGTTTTGGATCGAGTCCGACGAAGAAGAGGAGGCGCTGCTATGCAGCCCTGCTTTAATGGCCCGACGGGCCTCGGAGTCCTGGATCGTCGCACCTCCCGTGGAGGTACACGAAGAAGAACTGTTTTTTTTCCTAACGACAATCTTGAGCAAAATAACCGGAATCGTGCGGAAAGCAAAGAGAAGCGGGAGATCGTTTTTTCTCACGGAAGCACGACAAGAACGGGGAAGAAGCGGCGCGATGATCAATGAATGGACAAAGAAAGATGTTATTTGAACTATCGCGATCTTTAGGAATTAATAATTCAGGACCCACCGCGTTTGAGGCGATACAGTACGCTCGGAATAATGTCGAATGAGGGGTTTATAAGTGAAACGTGTGAAATCGCTGTGAAGGCGCTGTGTGATGCACCTGCGTCGCGCCGTTCGTTAACTGTTGTCCTTGTAGAGAACGACGCACGAAAATGTCCGGCGCGAATCGGAAAGTCCTCGACGCAACAGCACAGTTTGATTTATGCGACACTTATTCGCACGTATCGTATATTGCCGCGACGAGAGATGAAACATATTGCGATTATGCAATCCTTGGCAAGTTCACCGGTACAACAATTGCGGGAATGCGTATAAAATTTTCTCGAGAAGAGGCGAAAGATCATTTTCAACTGTATGAAATGATTTTTCTTTTCATTGATCTCACGAATTCGTGGGTAGAGAAGAACACGGACTAACTTTTTTCATCGCGCTACGAATCTCGAAGAGTTGGTTTGTTTGTGGAACGGAAAGAGAACGATATGACCAATCGATTCGAGAGCTTTCAGAACCTTGCACCGTAGGTCACGGGATTCGGAATGTCGGCTCTTGGGTTTGGAACGGTTCCAAAGACACTCTCCAGTTCCTGCCTTCCGCTCGTATTCTATCTTTTCCCCCCATCATCCGTTGCACTCATACGAGAGGCCGGAATTAGAGAAACACGTAATCCCGTAGGAGTTCAACGCTTTATTAACACGGATCGGTTTTGTGAAGAACTCTGCTAAAGGATTATACAATTCGAAGCTAAGATTAAGCTTAATCTTGCCACGGACTGGTTGTATTATTTGGGGTAATCCTTCTTTCGATTTAATTAGGAGATCAAATGAAGGATACTTGGTTGTCTGGGTAGTCATAGCGATTGACTACCGATATGATCTCGAGTCGAAATTTCAGTTTTACATTAAGTCTCGAAAGATCTTCTATTGCTCCTTTTGATGCTACAAATAAAAAGTTATTTCCGTTTTCTCCACTTGAAGACTTAATGCAGAATTTAAAATACTCTCCGGGAGGTTTAAATTCCCTTTGTAACAACAAAGGATTATTACTATTAATGCTCCTTTAATACTACAAATGGGATATTATTTTCCATTTTAAGACTTAATGTGTAGAATAAGTAGGCTTAATGTAGGCCTAATGTAGGATTAAAATTTCAACTCGGGATATGTTTAACATACTTCGAAATTAGTCCCACAAGGGAATGAGACGATCTTAACTTGGCGGAAATATGTCGTTAAGTTTCACAACGCACACTTCACGAAACCGATCTCTGAACGCTGGAGTCTCTCGAAAACGGACGTTCGATCGAATTAACCAAACTTACCTACCTCCGCCCGGTCAAACTAACTATTTTCGTCCTGTGAAAAAGGTACAAGCTCGAAGTATATTGTTAACTGCCTGGCGATAGCACCGTTTTTTCTCTTTCCGCTGTGTACCCGTTTGATATTATATACGTATACATCCGCTGTCCGATTATGCTAAGCGTAATATCGATATCTACACGTCGATAAGTACATCGCGCACGTCGCACGAGGCCCACCTCTCTCTCTTTGTTTCTCGTTTCTTTCCTTCGTGCAGGCGATACCGGCGGCGGCAATGCCACTTCAACGAAAGAAGTCACTGCCGGACGTGGCGCAGCCGATCCAGCTAACAGCCACGGCGCCATTGTCAAGGGAGGAAGTCAGTGTCCTGAGTAGCCTGAGGAGAGAGGAGATACGCAGGCAGATCAACGAGCACGAGAGACTCAGGGCCAATCCGCTTTTGTACCTGGTCAGTCCTCAGGTTAAGGTGAGTACCTTGCGCTCCGTTTCTACCTGGCGGCGACTGGAATCGCTGGTTATTGACAATGACGCGCCGCTCGAGAAAACAAAAAAACTGAAGAATGGAACGGCATTTGGCCGCAACACAGCGTGTTGCGGCTTTTTTTCGGTTCGGAAATCCTGCGTTCTCTTGGGATCGATGCGAAACTTCAAACGAGTCATACAGGAAATATTATATATATATCCGCTGTCACGATAATATGTTCTCACGCGAGGCCTCGAGGAATCGACATCCGTTCGTTCCACTTCTTATTGTCGAGCAACCGAGTACGGAAAGTTTCGTTTTCATGTGCTCGACGATAAGAACTGGATACTCACGAACGAAAGAGAGAAAGACAGAGTTAGAGTTTATTCAATTCGAGAGGAAGGGGGAGGGGAGATAAAAATCGAACATACCATAGTGAAAATGCAATATACGATTGCTAGTCAATTTCACGTAACGTGGTGATACTTTTAAATACGACAAAAAGTGGATAGAAAAAATAAGCGATAAAAAAGGAAAACAATCGTCGGCTGATACACACGCATTTACAAGTAATGCAGAGAATAAACTAAACATACATAACATAAAGAAAAATAAAACATAAAGAAATAACGCAGGGAGGAAGGGAAACGAAGGAGGGAAAGGAAAGAGGAAAACAAATACGCTGTTATAACGTCACGTTACGCGGCCGAAAATAATTTTGTCGATATGAATCATGCGCATCCTCATCGAATTCTTGGCTGTCCGAGCGGCGCGACTGAACGACGCGACGCACGATCGAGGAAAAACTCTTTTAACACGATGTCCCGTTTACTTCCAGGACTGGTTCTCCCGGCAGCAGCTCGTGATGCTGGTGCTCTTTATCAACATATCCCTAGCCTTGATGTTCTTCAAGCTGCTGACGTAGCAGCCAGCCGACGATCGGGTTCACGGACTCGTGGTGGACGTGACCTGAGACCTGGCGGCGTCGCGACGACGCCTTGGGTCGTCGCCGAAGCAGAATTTCGACGGAGGCAACGACGGAGAGTGCGGCCGCACTGAAAACCACTGGAAACGACTTTGGCGAGCGATTCGCTCGGTCTCGCGCGTCGCGAGGACTTCGCGCGGGAGAATACCCGAATTGGGGACCGACGCGAAGAGAAAGAGACAGAGAGAGGACTAGACGAAGAGGATCAACCTCGGGCGAGGATTTTGTCACGCGACGCAAACGATCGTGATCGAGTTCCGAACGATATCCAGGATTACGAAGGATCGCGTGGATACTAAATGACGGACGGCAATCGGAGGGAGGCATTCACCGAGACAGAAGCACGTCCTTCTGAGATAGCGCGGGGATCTAAAATAGGCCCACTTTTGGCCCTTTGGATGCTGTTAATTAAAAAGGATTTAAGCGTCGAGAGAAACGAGTATTCCGAGCGACGTGACTCGATGTCGGGTCTGAAAACGACGACTCCCGACGGATATATACATATATATATCTATGTCCGGGAATAATAGGATGTAACAAGCCGCCTTTAATAAAGTTGTCTGCGATTCGAAAAATTTGGCGCTTGGATTCTTCTTAATCGGCATGTATCAGTACTCGATGACTTGTGAGGTTGTTTGAGAAAAACCCAAAAAAAAAAACTTAAGAAAAAAGAAGAAGGAAAATCTCCGTCGCGCAATTTCGTCGTTCGCGCACGGAGAAAGGGGAGGGAGGGAGGGAGGGAGCAGACATCGGCGTGTCCTTTTTGGAAATGGAGGGCGCATTGCGTACCACCACGCCTGTGTACCATACCTATTTTTACACGGAATACTTTAATAATGCTACTTGCGAGTATGTGGATCTGCATGTGTGTGTGTGTGTGTGTGTCAGAGTAGGTCGAGCTCTCGGGCGGGCCGCCGATCGATCGTGCCCGATGCGGTACGCGCACACGTATCCCTCTTCTTTAGTAATAATTCTTCCTTTTTCTTTCCAACGGTCGGCTCGAGCGCGGTAACAGTGGCGATCGAATTGTTCTCGATCGATTTCTATTTTTTATTTCTCCTTATCTTTCCGTTCCGGGAAAGTCGGCCACTTGCCGACGAGGATGCCGATGCGCTCCTCGTTTCCCGGGAAGTATATTACCTGTTCTCATTTCGAAGCAGCTTTTCAAAGTCGAGTGTAACGGGAATCGTACTTTTGGCTGTCCCCGTGAACGTAGCGATTATAATTTAGCAATGATCGTAATTGTAGCCGTGATACCGACGCGATATAGATTTGTAAAAAAAGAAAAAAGAGAAAAAAAAAGACGCGCATGCGAGCATTTATAGCGTATCGCGACTGTTAAGACGCTAATCGCGAGTTTGTAAGCTGTAAGATGTAAATTATAACGAGGAAACATAGAGAGTTCGTAGTCTTCTAACATGTACGAGCCTCACGCGGAATTATAGTTACAATTACTATCGTTGGATTACATCGGCGAAGATGGATCGAATCCTCCGCCGTATCGTTCCTCGATTTACGTATCTCTATGATGGGCTGGGTAGTAAAGTATGTCAGCGTGACGTTAAATCCCGGGCAAACGTCTTCGCATACTGAATACGACTTCGTTTTCGGCGAGAGACCGAAGGTCAAGCATTTCTAATCGCCGATGTAGAAGTCGACATTGTTTTTCCCAACGCTTCGCGTTCTACGTCCGCGAAGCATATTCCCCTGCGTTGAAATGCGGATGACGCATAGCGCGATAATCGAGACGCACCAGCGCGATAACGTCATTCATCGAGATACAAAATCGCGATCTTTGTATTTATAAAGAGGAACTCTTGTAGAAACGTTCCGAAGTGTCGAAACCGGAGACGAATTGAATTCGACCTCGTTTCGAACGAGATGATGCGGCCATTTCGGCGAGAAGAAAGAGACGCGATTATATATAGTTCGCGAGGAATAAAATACAACTGATATTGGAAACTAGAGGCTCTTTGCGGTCCACGCACGTCTGAGATCACGTTTATCTCGTGACTTTGTGAAGACGCGAAGTCGCGTTTATTCTCCCGCGAACTCGCGATGGTTCAATGATCGGCCTTCCTGCGCTCGAGCGATCGCATTTTTTTCTAGTCTTGGCCATAGCTTGTGTATCTCTAGGTAAATTTGTAAATAATCAAATGTGAACGTCGAGTTCGCCCACTGCTACGCGACACCGTTCTCGCGCTCCCGATGCGAGTTTGATCGAATCGGGATCATTTTTGGACTCCGTCGAAGGGACTCGCTTTTCTTTTCTTTCTTTCGTTCCCCCCCCCNCCCCATAACGAAACTAAGCTTCCTATGCCGCTTTGACAGTGCCAATGACGTAGCCACTATACTTCCGCGAGGGTGAATTCGATTGAGGCTACTACCAGCCGGCAATGTATCCGCATTCGATCACGCCGCTTCAGACGCGAAGGAATTCTGATTCGAGCGCGAGCACGCGACGCAAAGCGACTCGGAGATATGAGACGAAGCGAATAGAGAGATTGCCGCGGATAACGATATTTTCCACGTTGTTCGCGTTAAGACCGCACAAGAGGGTGAAACGATTCACGTCCGTCACTGAGCCATTTCTCCGAGCATGTCGGACGCGAACTCGTTTACAGGATCACCAAATTCAGCGTGTGTTAGGTCTACGTGTGGCATTCACTCTGTGACACTTGTATCTGACAATTCATTTAATTCAAACTTGGCAGAATGTCCGTTGGAATACTAACGAAAGGATGCCGGTAGAGTAGCGAAGGAAGGTGTCAGGTAGAAATGTCAAACGTACGCCCAATCGAACCAAGAGCAGACGTGAACGTCCTCGTTGCTTTAAGGGGGACAGGATTACTTGGAAGAGAAAACTGAAGGAGAAACGCATAGGCACAAAGTACGTCAAATTTTTCGCGTTAGCAAAGAGGATCGACTTTTTGTCTCACGAGGCGTATCCGCGTAAATACTACTATACCTATTACCGCACGCACATTCGCCGTTGTGAGATTACGTATTGTATATACATATAAAATTGAGTTAGTTAGTGCGAGAGAGCAACTATAGGAAATTTGATATCGAATATCATCGGGGCGGAATATCTACGAGGGAAGAGATTGAGGCAAAGGACAAAGAGAGAGAGAGAGAGAGAGAGAGACAGGCATCATTTCTGTCACCAAAGCCATATCACTAATCAAAGGAAACTTACGAAATTTGTTTCGCGATTTGCGCGCGCTATATCATAATGTGTATATACATATATGCGTATATACGGTCATATGTATATTTTACCTGTTATCTCTTGACTATTATCGCAGTTAGCACACACATATCTCGTTATTATTGTATATTATTATTATTACTATTATATCATCGTCATCGTTACCACTATAATTATTATCGTTAATTATTTGGATTATTATTATTATCATCGTTACTATTATTATTATTATTATCGCCATATCATCATCATATCGACGGTTATGCAAATACTTGGAACGAAAGACGGACGTGGGAGAAATTTTGGTATTTTGCAAAATATGCGATCACGACGCTAAGACCGGAGGGCCCACTGTCACTATTAATTTGCGCAAGCGGTGATTAAATAAACTTGTATCATAACTGATGAACGACTTTGTTATTGACGTGACGTTTTGTCGCATCACGTTCGTCGGAACGAGGGGCCTACATTGCGAGGGAAGAATGACGCGTACTAAGTCAACGATCATTATTAATTGCGCGTAATGACGCAACGATTTGTTATCATGTCGAAGGGACAAGAGAAAGAGAGAGAGATAGAGACGGAGAACTATGTGTGGTACTTTCCATAATTTCTATGCGCACACACACGTGCCGCTTTTCTTTCCGAGAGATGTATAGAGGAAAATCGTGTCACCGTGCGAAGTCATGCGGCGATTTGCGTCTCAAACAAACAAAGCGTACTGATTACGCGTTTATCGAGGCAAATATTTCTTCCTGCGAGTCTGGCGTGTGTTTACTACTACCTGAGAGACTAACCTGCGTAGTTGCCGAGGTCAGTCCAATACATCGTACATAAGCAGTTTTAACTCGAGAGTATCTTATAGTGTTATCATCATTATCACAACATAAACGCATCAGAGGCGAGATAAATGACGAGATGATGATAAGATAAATCGGACGGACGAAACTTCCGGAGGATTGTGAAGCAAATTCGCAACGCGTGTCGCTGGAATGTCGAGGAGTCTCTAAGGACGAATCTCTTCGAGGGCGGAAACTTTCCCCGTCACTTAAAAATCTCGAATCTGTCGCCAATTCGTAGCGCTCGAGCGTATATGTCGAGTCAAGATTGATTATGACAAATTCGCAAGTAAATCGGAAAGCGCAGCGGCGAGCGCACGTGTAGTTTTTCGCGCGGTAGGGCCGTTGCGTCACGAATAAACTACGAGACCGCGACTGTGAGAGATGCACACCGCGTCTATTACCGGTATCAACGTCATTCGAGCGGTGAATGTCAAGCGAAATGCTCGCGCGGTCGGTCGACTATATTGCGAGCGATAATAACATCGCGTGCGAGCGTCCAAACGCGTGCGCGTGTGTATTCGCGTGGAAAAACGGTTCCAACGAAGAAATATCAATGTTGGCTGCGGAACGTTATCGATAAACGTGGCAAGGTGACTCAACAGCTGCGTATATAATGATAATTTAATCGAGGAAACTCCTCGAATACATTTGAGCGGATGGTATATATTTTATCTAGACGTCTAAATTGTTGAATTAAGATTTCATCGAAAGTTCACAATATTATCGTAACGGTGATACGTATTCGGCTCTCGATTCTTTCAACTTCGTCGTTTCCTTTTCTATGACGGGACTCGACTGACAATATATAAAGATAGAGAGACAGATATAGCAATGTTTGTAGGGGCCAGATACTTATTCAAGTGCAGAGCGAAGCCCCGACGTGAACTATAAAGTTAAGAAAAAGGAAACGGTTGCAAGAACTCGTCTCGCATTAAAATATACAAACAGACGACTCAGAAGCGAGTCGCAGGTAAACGTTATCCGTTGTTTGAGAAGCTGCATACTGACCACGCGCGGCCAGCGCGTCGTGGTACCGCCAACAAAGGAATGACCTCGAACGGTATCTGCGACTCGTGCCTCCGGTTCGAGAAATCGCTCGTTTGACAGATCGGCCGTATTATCGCGACGTGATCGGCGAACAGGTGATAATATAGCGCGACGAAATAAGAGCAAGCTTGAACTTTGAACGTCGAACCAGCGCGGCGGACGAAGCAGGTGCTGGATTCGTCATCGCCGACAGAGTGCAACGACTGTGACGGGACACAGCTGGAGGAGACCGGCTCCGATCGGTTCCCAGCTACGTCGTTAACACTTGACATCGTTTCAGCTGGGTCTCAGCCTACGCGACGGCGAGCGGTTTCTAATTTTAGGCGATCTCGCCGAACTTACAGAAATACACCCGCGCGCAATGTGTACCGTTGTTTGGCTATGACTTACTAGAACCTGCACGGGAAAAAATCTCAGTTCGTGTAGTAGAATGGGGTCAAACAAAAACTCGGGGACGAGAAACTTATCTTATCGA